GATCCATCTACCAGTCAGAGCAGTTGTTGTTAGTCAAGACTGCGTAACTGGATTACTGGAGAAGGTTGTAAAACTCTCAGTGTCCAGGTTACACCTGCGATTGGGAGCCAGGTCCTTCCGAAAACTGCAGGTGATCCAGCATGCAGCCTAAATGGGAATTCTGCTTTAGGCTGAAAAGACAATGGATTGGCTGGGGAGGGGGCGAGCTCCTACTCCTGGGCCTGGTGAGGCCAAGGCAGAGGAGCACTTGGCCAGAATGTGTGGGAGGAGCTAACATCAGTTGCTGCTTTTCTGGGAATCTGGGGTTCTTCTCTTTACCGCCCTGGCCTTTGTCCCAGGGTCTTCCCAAGCTCAGTTTAATCCTGTTGAGCACAGAGCCAAGGGCTCTGTGGAAATATCCCTACCCCTTTAATTTTTTTTGTGGTACTTGGATTTGAACTCACAGCCTTGCTAAGCAAAGACTTCGGCACTTGAGCCATGCCCGCGGTCCTTTCTACTTTAGTTTCTTTTTCATATAGGGTCTCACACTTTTGTCTGAGTCAATCTCAGACCAAGATGCTCCTTGCCTCTACTTCCTGAGTAGCTGGGATTACAGGCAAGAGGCACCATGCCCCCACAGGAAGTAATCCTTGTCCAGTAAGCCCCCAAACTGAACGTCAAGCACTCCAAAGTCAACACTTTGTCTCTGACATATTAGCTGGTGACTAAGCAGATGGCCAGGGGCGGCAAGCCTAGCAGAATCATACTAGACCAGCCACTTTCCTGGCCTCCCATGGGTCTGTTGGGGTTGCATCACAAAGGAGAAAGAATGTAAACTCGGAATCAAAGGGCGTGAAGGGGAGCCCCAGTCCCACCACTTGCCAGCTGGGCTCCTTGCTCAATCCTTGGAGCCCTGCCTGGGTGGCGTGCCCACCCTGTAAAGAACTGGGTATGGGTATAATTCTGACAGAGAGCCACTGAGGAGACCTCAGTGGAGTGATGGGGAGGAGGGGAGCAGTATAGAGTGTAATTTGAAAGGTTCGGAGAGGGCCAAGGGCAAGAAAAAGACCTTTTAAAACAGACCTTTTACCCTTCCCTAGAGCTCTGAGCAGACTTTTGACACAACCAGGTAGCTACAATCAGTACTTCTGGCATCTTGGGAACTCTTGAACCAGTGGCACGAGTACCCCACATGGCTGGGGAAGAAGAGGGTCCCTAGCATCAGGGTCCTGGCAGAGTTGCCTTATCTGTAGCTGGGCCAGCTGATGTCAGCTTCCCCCTCAACCCAGCACCAGGCATACCCAGGGCTGCACCATGTGGTCCTGTTGTGAATTCAGCCTGAGGTGTCCCTCCTGGTCAGGAAAGCTGAGGAGAATACTCCCCCAGAGAAGGGGCCAGTGGGGCAGAGTGGGGCATCACTGCCAACCCTGTCTGCATCCTGGGGAGCAGAGCAGACTGGAAGGCAGGTATGCTGTTTCTGGGTTCTGTCTACCTCAGGTCTCCCTGTGGCCAAGGAGAAGATACCTTGGGCCACCAAGGGACATTGGCTGACCCAGCCTGGGTCCCAGTGGGACCTGCCACTTATAGGCTGTCCTCCACATTCCCAGAACTTTTTCTTGCAGACAAGTAGCAACCCATCCCATTCTCCTGCACAACCCATGGAAAATTGGACATGGCCCCTTGGGATCTCAAATCTAAGAAGAAAAAAAAATTTTTAGAGACAAAAATTTTTAATTCCCCTGTGTGCCTTCCACAGCTCAGTGGATGTGGAGAAGCCCTCAGTCAGTCTCATGTTATTGTCATTTGTGTTTAAATCGTGTGTGATCTAAATGCTTTCCCAGCCTTCATTTTAGGAAAAGCTGCTTCCCAAAAAAGCAAACAATACTCCAAACGCCTGGTAAAAGTGAATGTGCATAATTGAAGTCATCAAGTGAAAATGTGAGATGGGTTGAAAGGCGCATGTCTTTAGCAGAAGTTGGGAGGCATGATGGGAAAAGTGAACCAAGCATCCACAGCACAGCACTGAACTCCATGCATCCTAGCGTGCATGGTTTTTCCAAGTGGTCCCCTTGGAAAGAGGTACCTGTGAATGCCAAGGGTTGACTGTACCTGTTCTGGAAAGCATGTCTTCCCAACCCAAAAAAGGCCACTTACTTTCTTAGCAGCACAGGCAACTTAGCACAGAGGCAGCAAGACAGACGGCTCTCCAGGAAGTCCACAGCACAACAAGAAAGACACACAGCCCGGTGAGACTGGTGCCCGGGTGACCTCAGATGCTCACAGGAACCAGAACAAAAGAACATAGGAGTCTTAATGGAGGTGACTCGATGAAATAGCACAGAGCCACTCATTCTGGGGAGATGGTGTAGTGTAGAGGGAGGTGAAACTGGGGTACAGTGGGGTCAGGTCTCCCCAAGTTTGTTTTTCACAGTGGAACTTGGGTTGATTGTATCTGTAGAACTTCAGGGAGAAGTTTCAGAGAGAAAAGCCCAGAGGGCTACCAGGTGGAGGGTAGATAGCAACGGTCAACTCTCACCACAGAGACTTCTCGATGCAGGGAAGACATGATGGGATCTGTGGTGCATCCACATCACCTGTTCCTATTTTTCAATTGCACTGCTTTGGGGTTACCAGACCCATTGCCTTGTTCTCTGCCTCTGTCCCTTTATTTGATTCCCTCTTGGAAAATTCAGGAGCTGGGGAAGTTTCTAGGCCCAGACAAGATGAACTAGGAGAAAGTGCAAGGAAGGAGACTCAGGGTGACAGGCTTATGGAACAACTGTAGCTGTCTACAGGGCCACTCAGGAGGCTCCCCCTGTGCCCGGGAGACACATGTTCACTCTGTAGTCATCAGGAACCACAGCCTCCATCAGCAAAGCAGAAGGGGAGACTCGAGTCACACCAGACTGATGGTTGGATTGGAGGGGTGGGTGTGGGGATCCTTCCCGTGCATTTTGATTGAATATTACATAATTTACTGAAATTATATGACTTATTGAAACTCTATAACCTCATCTGATTTAAAAGCTAATGCTTTCTCCAAATAAATAAGCCAAAAATAAGGCTTTAAGGTTAATGCTACAGTGTTTTGGGGGTTCTCTTTTTTGAGCTAACAGAAGGAACTGCTTTACAGAAGGGCGGGTGTTCTTGGGCTTCTAGGAAGCCTGCCCCTCGAACCCAGCCCTTTTAGCTAAAACATGTCAGTAATATAAGATGGTTCTGCCCTTCAGCAATATGTGACTGCTGTTTTGTGTCTGCCCACTTTCACTTTCAAATCTGTCACTATGCTGGGATCTAAAACTGTGCTGGCCTTCCCAGTTCAATAGCAGCCTGTGGGAAGGGAGTCCCACAGACATTGAGGACAGAAAAAGGTAGAGCACAGTCAGGACTTTGTTATCAAGAATTACATCTTTCATGGCGGGCACATGGCTCAGGTCTGTAATCACAACCATGCAGGAAGTGGAGATCAGGAGGATCATGGTTCAAGGCCAACCCAGGCAAAATGTTAGCAAGACCCCATTTTAATAAACTGTGGTGGTGGCATGAGCTTATTATCCCAGCTACCTGGGAGGCATAGATAGAAGGATCCAGGCTTACCCTGGCAAAAACAAGAGACCCTATCTCAAAAATGACTGGAGCAAAAAGGGCTGAGGGTGTAACTCAGGTGGTAGCCTATCTAGCAAGCATGAAGCCCTGAGTTCAAACCCCACTACTACCCAAAAAAAAAAAAAAGAATTACATCTTGGGCTGGGGGCATGGCTTAAGTGGTAGAGTGCCTGCCTAGCCCAAGTGTGAGGCCCTGAGTTCAAACCCCAGTACCACCAAAAAAAAAAAAAAAGAATTACATCTTTCCATCAAGTCATAAGCATTGTTTTTAGGGGGATTTAAGGCGGCTAGGCCACAAATGATAGTAAGCCTCGATTGTCTTGGAATATTGAAACCTAGAGGATATTTTGGAGGCCATTTTGAATGTGCATTGTCATTGCCTGAATGTGAAAAATTGGGAGCAGTAGGAAGAAGTGACTTGCCCAAAGGCACACAGAGAGTTGGTAACAGAGCTGTCTGAGTTATGTACCTCCCTCCTCCCAGCAGGAGGAAAGGAAAGGGTCCCTTCCTCACTGTGTCCTTCCCTAAGGTACATAGAGACCCCTAGGTATACAGTGTTCAACTTGCTTAGTCCCTGCTCTCTCCAGCTCTCTGTGTTGCTTCTCATGACCATTTGACAGATTCCCAGAGAGTGGAAGCAAGGACTCCCTATTAGAGCTGGATAACAAGATGGAGTGACAGATCTTTGGAAGAGAATGTGTAGGCAGAACTCAGGTTTACAGGACAGATCTCTGTCCAGAACCCAAGAGCTCTCCAGAGAGGTCACACATGGTTAGAGAAGGGTACCTGCCTTAGAGGGTGGGGTTCCCATATTCAGGGACACCAAGGAAGTCCAACTGAAGATGCCAACTGACAAGGAAGGCACAGTGAGGCTGCCTCGAGGCCATGGGCACCATGCAAGAAAATGTGCTCTAACAAAGGTCAAGGCCAAGTTGGCCACACCCGTGTGTGTTGGCGGTGGTTGTTTCATGCTACAACTTCACAGTGGCTGAGTGGATGTAACTGGAGCTATGGGGTTGCAAAGTCAAGGTACTGAGCATCTGGCTCTTTATAGAAAAATGTTGCCATCCTCTGCTTTCACTCTATATCAATAGCCCCAGTTCAAAGTTAAGGTGCTGCCCCTCTCCAGCGGGGCAACCTTGTATAGCCACTTTTCATCTGAGCCCCATTTGTACTAAGGACAGACTTGTTTGGAAATCCCATTGACTCAGGTATGGGAAAGCACCCAGCCCAAGGGTAGTCCAGGTGCTGAATCAATGATGGTGTCTCCTCTGAAAAGGGAACTTGCAATCTGATTGGTCCCCAGAGTGTCAGGAGGTGGGCTGTGGGGCAGGATAAAATTTTCCTCTTTCTAGAAAGGATGATTCACAAACTCACATTTCTTTATTATTTCTTTTTTGACATTTTTTTTTCAGATACTGGCTAACTAACAAAGTCCACATCAAAAGACCCACCACTGGCCTCTTGATGTACACCCTGGCCACACGTTTCTGCAATCAGATCTACCTCTATGGCTTCTGGCCCTTTCCACTGGATCAGAACCAGAACCCTGTCAAGTATCACTATTATGACAGCCTCAAGTATGGCTACACCTCCCAGGCCAGCCCCCATACCATGCCCTTGGAATTCAAGGCCCTCAAGAGCCTGCATGAGCAAGGGGCATTGAAACTGACTGTCGGCCAGTGTGATGGGGCCACGTAAGGTGGGCACACCATGGGACTCAGTGGCTCACATTTCCTGCCGGCTACACCACAGGCAGATGGGAGTCGGGGTGGCACAAACAATAGAAACAAGCTAGTGGTTTTCTTTGTTACAGTGTAAAACAGTGACCAGAATATATATATCTATACGTGCATATATATATTGACCTGAGTATTTATAACTGTGTGGTGTTCATCTAGCATTAGGCAGATAAACCACAGGAAGAAAGTGTGGATAATCCACCTGAACCAGATCGAGACTCAGTCCATCTTTGGGGGGCAGGAGGATTTGATGTGCAGGGAAACCAGTCCCATGACTTTGGATGAAGACCTGCCTCCTAGGTTGGAGGGATCTTTGGGCTCATGGATTAATGGAGAGCCACTTGGTGTCAGCTGCCCCGGACCTCTGGGCTATGTGAATTCTGGGCAGCCAGGACCCAGAAAGGACAGCGTGAGCCAGTCTAAGTGGTGCTGTTCGTGGAGGAGAGGAGATTGGAGGTCAGCTGGGTGAAGGAGCACAAGGAAACCAAGCAGCAGAGGCCACAGTGGAACTGAGAGCCTTGTTCATGAACTTAGAGTTGTTTTGCCCAAGGGATACACCGTGGGTGACACACATGTCCCAGACAGGCCTCTACAGCAATGGTGAGAAGGCCAATGGAGACACAATGGACAGTCCATCTTCTGGCTGAACAAGAACTGCCAAGGGCTTCAGGTAGAGTGGCATACAGCCCTAAAGAGAGACAGTGTCCTACATGATGTCTTTGAAAAATTGAGACCTTCTTCTGGGGGTTTACTCCACCCCCTGGAATAAGGCAGAAGAGTGTCCAAAGTGTGATTGTTCCATTGGGTGTTCTTTAAAGCATCTGAGATCCACTGAGGAAGAAGAGACCCTGGGACTTTACTCCGGCTTAGCCTCCATCCCACCCTCTTAGAATGTCATGTGAGGAATTCTGCTGTCCCCTCTGCCACCAGAAAGACACAGCAAAAGCTTGAAAGGGCACTGTCAAGATAAATGACATCCTTTTTTAAAATACATATGATCGCCTTTCTGGATGCCTCGTGGAGCCCCAGAGTGGGAGACTGGAAGAAGCAGGAAGCTTCTAGCTCCCTGCTCTTTGGCTGCTCTATTTATTTGCTTTCTGCATCCTGCACTCTGCAGGGCCCCTGAAGCCAGACTGCTGTGCCCATGTCACTTACTTGTCACTTTCCCATCCTGATGGTCACCCATGCCCACACCAAGAGGTCCAATGCTGCAGTTTCTGCAGGGAGAGGTCTAATGTCCACCCCACAGCCACCCACCCTCATCTCCATACAGGCACCATGATTACACAATATAGCAAAATCCTTTTCCTCCTGTTAAGATTCATATTTAAGACTTCTTTTCTTGTAAAAACCCAAAGCCAAATGCAGTTCCAAATACTGGACACACTCTCCAGAAGAGTCTGGGCTCAATGCCAGTACCTTAGGGGCTGGAGTCATAGGCCACACGTAGAGAAGCACAAGCCAGCTTGATTTGTTAGGTGTAGTCTCCTTGTCTGATAAATAATAGTGTTTTAAAACATATTTGAAAGATAAGAAAAAAACCATTATCTTGAGGTGAAAAGAGTTAAGAAAAGTAATCAAGCCAGACACAATTAATCAATGGCAATTTGGAACAGGACATTTCTTTTAAATTAATGGGTGATGGGAAACAAGTGGAAGTAATAGAGAGCTACCCAGAACCATTAACCCCACACACAGATGCTCCAATCCCAAACCAGGACGGCGAAGATACATCTCTTCATTTTTCCCTTTATTCTTGTGTTGTTGCTTAAAGTCGGAAGTTTGGGATTTGCATTATAAAATGAATATTTTAAAAAGCAATAGCCCTAACAGCCTGATGGGAACTAAGTGGTTCAGCCTCCTTGTGAGCAGAGGAAATAATTAGTATCATATTTTACATGTCTCCAGAGCCTTTCATCTTGAGGATCTCAAAGGCCCTAGAAGACATTTAATTTCTCAAGTTTGCAATGCCCTGTGGAGCAGGGCCCTGATGGATTAGTCAAGGCCTTGGATTCCACAGTGTTTCATGCTGACTCCTGAGGGAAGCCCAGAGATCGGTCCTAGAGTTGGCCCTGATCAGATCAGTACCTTCTCCCTGCAGGGGAGTTAGAGATCAGAACTCTTTGGAGAACAGAGTCTTCAGACCTGCCCCCATGTCCGTCCTGGGGCAGAAGTCCCCAGGACTATCTACTCATACACCACTCCCTAACTCAGAGGGTCCATCGCTGCCATAATGCTTTGGCCATGTGATCACAAAGGCTCCATGGGCGTAAGCTTCCCTTGTTCCTTGTCACTGTCCATCTGGGCACACACAGTTAAAAAGCCAACAGGCCTCCCCTGCCTGTTTAGCGCTCACTTGCAGCCAAGGTCCGCTGAACTCTGTAGCACTGGCTGGTTGACTTTGGCCCTAAGGAGTCACAGATTGTAATGTTACCCTGCTAACTGCCACCTTGTAATTACAGTCAGGCATCCCACCAGCCTCAGCTGGCCCCCTCTGCTGTTGGCTGTCAGTAAGATCCCCAATTTGTCTACCTTAGCTCTTCAGACCTTCTCCATTTGCCTCAAGTCCCCAACTGACCCCTTCACTGAAGAGATGGAGCCCTCTGATGTGAGATCTCACCTCATAATCTTTTGGTCTCTCTCCCATTTCTGAAGAAATGAGAGCCCTCCTCTGGCCAGGATGTGATCTTTCACACACCCTCCTCTTTCTGCCCTTCTGTCCACCAGCACAGGCTCATGACACCCATCCTGGCTCCTGTAGCCCCTTCACTCATCTCCTTTCACCACCAGACCTCAGCAGGGTCTGCTGCCCTTCTCCCTCCATGCTTCAGCATCCTTTTCTGGCCTGCCCCTGGGACCAGTGTCACAGCACCCGCCATGTGTCAACGTGGAAATCCCCTTCTCACTGCGAGGCTCTACAGTGAGTTTTTCTGGGTACTCTCTAGCCCTTTGACACCAAGATGCCATGTTCTCATGTTTTTCCCCTCCCTCCCCAACCCCTCTTAGCCATTTATTTATATATTTATGTATGTATTTATGAGTTATTTATTGACACTCCTACCTTGGTTTACAAAAGGAGTCAAGGTTGATCAGCCCATCATTTCTTTCTCTTCTTGTCCCACAATGCAGCCATTCCTTCCTCTGGTGTCTTCCCCACAGATCACCACGTCCTCCACCAGCAACCTCACGCCTTCCTTCAGATGTAACCATCTCCTCCCCACAAGCAGTCTCCACTCTTCTCGGCCACCCAGCCCAGCTCTGCAGTGCCAGGCTTGAATGGCTCACAGCTTGTTGCACACACTCTATCTGTAGCAGCACCATGAACCTCACACATCTGGGGCTGAGTGGATCATCTGTCTCCCTTCCCTATGATCTTTCATCTTTCTGTTGGAAGACACAGAAAGATGTCATCTTTAACTCTTCTTCTACGTGCTCCCTTGTTACTTCTTCCCACTAGCCCTGTCCTCATCTCTTTATTGTCCTTTGGACAACTTAGTGACATCTCAGTCTCCTCTCCCACATTCTCCAGCCCCTTCTGAGCAGGCGCAGTGTTGTGTATCCCCAGCTCTTCACAAACCTTGTAAGTCTCCCTGGCCCACAAACAAATGCACACATCTTCCAATCAGGTCCCATTCTTCCTTCGCACCCTGCATCAGCCAACCTGAAAGAGTTGTCCTTTCTGGAAGGGGCGCCATGTTTCCTGTCTCTGTGCCTTTGGCCTCGTGGTTCTCATCTCCGGAACTGTTCTTGAGTTGCCTCCAAGGCCCAGACAGAGATCACATACTCCATGAAGTCCTCCTTGACCCACCAACCACTGGGATCTCTCCCTCCGCTGAGCCACCATAGCACTTTATTTGTACATTTCTCACGGCACTTACCATACTCTGCCTTGTATTATAGTTATATGTACACTTGTCGTATGACTGTTCTTAGACTGTAAGCTCGCCATGGGCAGGGGACTATTTTATTCATCTGTATCCATCACAGCACTAGGTGTAGTGCATAGCACACAGCAGTTGCTCAATAAATGTTTGTGGGATTAAATCCTAAAGACCTTTATAATTAATGAAATCATTTTGCATCCATAATGTCACAAGAAAGTCAAAAAAATAATGTGGGTTGCTTGAGCCAAAGCACAAATAAGGATTTCCATTACATAGGGCATAAAACTGAGGAGCTCACTCTGTTCCGGGCTCACTGTAGAATTTTCACCCCTGTCTTGTCCTCACCCCAGGGCTTTCCTGCTAACTCATGTGGTTGGGATATTGTAAATGAAAACTAAGCACAGGCCTGCTGCCACATGTCTGGACCTAACCTTCAGAAGATCAGGGCAAACCCCAGCGTGAACCCCAGCACATGGGCCCATCGATACAGGCAAGAGTCTCACTCTTTTCTGGGAAGGACAAAAGCCATTTGGGTTTTCTCAGGCCTGGGGCATGGAACTGTAGGATCTCATCAATCATTCCCACTGCTGCTGTCACAGGGTAGGAAACCATCCTTCCAGATGGCAGGGGGACCAACAGCTTCAGGGGACTGCTGTTTGATAAATCTCTTCATGCCTAATTAAGACTCCCCTTCCAGAATGAATGGAACAGGGACGTTTATTATTGCTGATCAGATGGGACCCCAGAGGTGCATGCTGCTTCATGAATGCCCTTAATAGCATCCCCAATGACACCAACAGCCTGGCCCCACCCGCTGTCTCTTACCAGCCCTTCTGAATGGCATCTCTTCCTTCCTTCATCCTCATCCCTTTGCCTCCCTTCTCCAAAGCTCTCCCCTTGGCAAGGTGATCCCAGAGAGTCAATTGCAACTCTTCTGGGCATCTGAGCCTTGACCTAGAGCAACACTACAAGATGGCAGAAAGAGAGGGAGGGGGGTACTCAGTGTTATCCTTCAGGGAGGCAAAACCAAACAGGCTTCTGTTCTGGTGGTGGGCCTTCTGCAACAATGGGTGGT